TGCAGCATAGGTACTAGATAGTATAAGATACTATTTTTTAATTGTGACCCTTCCCTTATTCCTAAATAAAATTAAATAATAATCGGCATTACCAACATTCACAAATATCGTTGTATAAATGTCGATATTCACTAGTGTACGTTTACTAAAATCACAAATTTAGTCAATAAGCCAACATTCACTAATGATTTTGGTGTACGACGACATTAACCGGTGACTGTCAGYATTCTCCGGACATTCACAGTAACATATATAAATATGACCAKWGGCGCATCCAAAATTTTTGGATGGGGAGGGGRGAGGGCACTTAATAAAGTTAATCAAAATTTAATATCTGTTACATTATACTAGATATTTTGTTACTTAATTTTGTAACCTTAATAACCTCTRCAAATAATTGTTAATACTCAGAAGGTTTTTTCAAAACCGTTTCAGGAGTACCATGGTTTATACATTGATTTTTATCACGTACAATTTATAACATAATATGGTTAAAATTGGTAGGAGACTGAAGCCCCTCATAACCCCCACCTGAGTACGCCACTGCTAATGACCATATTTTCAAATTCTTGAGATTTTTKTACTAAATCTGGGATGTCTTGGGGAGATACAACATTTTATTTTCTGCATTAAATAGTTAAATAAACAATATATTGACATTAAAAATKATGAGAGTAAAAATTAAGGTAACAAATGCGTAGACATTGACGCATCTTTATCGACAATTTATGATTGCTGGAGCTAGGAAGTCATAAATAGTGGACTATCAATTCAACTTTCAAACACCTATGATAATAATACATAAGAGAGCAGTCATCTTTCAATCTTGTGAATCACTGATAAAATATTTAATACAATAATTCAACTTCAAACGACAGAATAAAATAAAATTGTCTCTTCTCGTAAAAGATTTGGAAAAGATGGGAATACCTAGCTTCGTTCAATATTCTTCAGGCATTTTTATAACATAAAAAAACCTTATGAATAAGGCGAATATAGTAGCAGGAGTAGTGTTGTTAACATAGAGCCTCCTCTGCAGTTGGTTTAAACGGAAAAAAAAGCGAATATACTATTTAATATTAGATTGTTAATTTATTTACCAACTGAAAGTTATTAAAAATTTGAACTCTTCATTGAATTAWACTAATTTTAGGTAATCATAACAATAAGTGTTTTATTTAAGTCACACATATATTATTTTGAATAATTTTAACTTTTTGAAAAAATCATTATTTCATAATTGAACTAGATGTCATTGAAAAAAAAATTCAAAAAAAAAATATATTGTAGTATGTATTATTGGATCAACATCCGGTTGAATCCCTTATTAACCCCCATTAAGACTTTAAGTATTTGTAAATTCTAATCAATATTAACAAACAGTTTGTAATCTAATTTTAATATATCAAGTACCTTGAAAACATCTTGTTATAGAATATGAAAATATATGTTATAACTCAAAAATTAAAAAAAATTATGATGACTAAAAATAGTAAAAATATTTTATTTTTTTCAACGACAAGATATAATGTATAGCAAACATTTCATTAAATACAATATAATTACAACTATTAAAAATAATAATACTAAAAATACTGGGTATTTTATATATTGCAGGATAYCGTCTATAATAGTATTTATGCATCTTTATATAATGTGTCATCTATAAGTAATACAATTTTGCTCGGTGCCATGGTTATCTTTATTATAGAATGATGAAACCAAGATAACAGAGAAAAAATGAATCTCGATAAAATCCATGAATAGCCAAAAAAGCGTATTTGGAAGTATAAACAGGTACATGCAAACACGATATGTACATAATAAAGGCTTTGATATATTTATATACGTCATTCGAATGCCGTCCACATTCTGCAAGTGATTCAATATTATTTTCCGTAATGCGAGTATACCAACGTTATATTTCCCATAATAGGCCAACTGGAAACTTTTCAAACATAAACTATGTACTGAAATAAAGAATGTAACTTTTGGAATATTTTCATAAAGTTTGAATTGCTCTTAGCGGTCGGATAGACAGGTTTATAACGTTAAGTGCACGCTGAAATATAAAACAATTCTAAAATAAATATACAAAACAAAAAAACGTGAAAACCTTGACGATTAATTTATAAATAGAAAATTAAAACAATTTTGAAAARAAAACTTTTTATCCTTTTATATTTCACACCAATTTCATTTATTAAAATGTTCCGAGTATGTAGAATTTTATAATGCACACACGGTGGTAAAAATTATTTAATTCTACAATAATTTAATTAGACTAGAATTTAATTAAAATTGAATACGTACATTTATTTAATTTACACAAAAATCAATCACCCGAGTATAATAATAAAAAAACTATTTATCATGTTAATATAGTTTAAAAAGCCTAATTTATTACCTAGAGGCTAGAACCTATACAGGTGATTATAATTACAATTATAATTACAGTACCTACTTACTAATGGTAAATATTATATTTTAACTAGCTGAACTCGTGCAATTCGTAGTCGTTAAAAATCCTACCTCTTATATTCCTCAAACTGTGTGTTAAATTCGTTACCTGTGATTATGCAAGCAATACATTTTTACACATATAGATACATAACGGTTAAACGTTAAAATATACTAAGTAATAATCTTAAAACGATATTCAATTTAGTTTACAATTATGTAATTTTATTCGATTTATCGAGAAAAGTCTGGCAATTCAAGTATTCAATTGAATGGTGTTTATTGAGGTACATTTGGAAACACAATATTTTTTGTTCTTCCTTATGGTATGTACACGAATACATTTTTCTGACACGTAAGTTAATAAATAAAATTTAAAACAAAAATTCCATCGTAAATCTCAAAATTTCTGTTTGAGCACTTTGAGCACCTTCCGTATTTGAGATTTGTAGTAATGATTCAGCATGGTGATAAATTCTACCTTGCACTTTGAATGTTAACATGTAATTGTCACACACAATATTCGATGCCCGGAATGATGTCATTTGGAAACATGAATTGTATTTGTGGATGTTTGCTAAGAAATTTTTCGATTTGCTCGTGTCGCCTGATACCAACGTTGATAATGGTTCGGGTGGTTGATGTAATTCTGGTAATTTTACATTTCCACCAGCACAGCATATACCTGGTACCTCATTCTTAAATTTGAATGATCTACAATATATGTATAATTTATCCATTTTTCCAATAATTACATTTGGACGAATGCTGTAATTATAAATAAACATCGTGATGGAATGCACCSAGATTCAAATCTGTGCGAGTAATTCGTCCGTATCGAGCATGAAGTTGTCTGTCGGTTTCCAATCTTGCATATCGTTGATAAGTTGTTTCAGATGAACGCGCTCGTGCGTGAAGTTGTCTATCGGTTTCCAATCTTGTATCTTGTTGCTCAGTTGTTTCAGATGAACAGAACGAGCTCGGCGTTGTCTGGCGGTTGCCAATCATGCTCCTCGTTACTCAGTTGTTTCCGATGAACGGAATCGAGCTTGACGTTCTCTGGCGGATTCCAATATTACATGTCTTTTCCCGATTGTTTCTGAAGCTCGTGTTTCCATTTTTTTTCGTGCTTAAGGCGTACAACTACTGATCGATCTTTTTTGGGAGGCGTAATTCAAGAGGTAAAATTTTTTACGGACTATGCAGTGCACAGTTAACAATAATAAATTCAAGAGACTTAGAATCGGTCACACATGGTTAACCCACAAACACCTAATGTCCAAAACGGATCCCGAACCTTGTCTCTCATGCGGCGAAACACCTTCAGTCAAACACATCATATGCTTCTGCCGTAAAGACAACGATGTTAGAGTCAACCTCAAACTAGCTGACAATCTCTACGAAGCTCTTGGTCCTGACCCCGACAACACTCAGAAGATATTTACCTTTTTAAAATTATCTAAATTRTATAACCTAATCTAAACACACCTTCACACCCCAAGCTTGAATTGTATAAATATCCCTCCTTTTATCACCATATGTTAAATTTAACTTCRGCCAATAATCTATGTTGTTGCGGCTTAATTTTGAATAAAAAATAAATTCAAGGATATATGCTATAATAATAATAATAAGCAACCATTTATAATTAAACAAAAATTTCCATCGTAAATCTCAAAATGTCTGTTTGAGCACCTTCCGGGGTTGAGTCTATCACTTTTAAACTTATTCTATCTTCTGCCTACAGGTCTAATATATATCTTTACCAAATTTCGTCGCAATCGGTCCAGTCGTTTTGGAATTCATAAAGAAGTAACAAACAGACAGAAATCCGTTTATATAATATATAGATTATAATAGCTTTAAAACTCATAGCAACTATTTATAAACAAAAATATCTATCATAAATCTCAAAATTACTATTTGAGCACCTATCGGGGGATGATTAATTACCTTTTTAAATTAATTTAAAATGTATTCTCAGACCTACCATATTGTACACAGAAAATTTGATGAGAATCGGTCAAGCCGTTTCGGAGGAGTTCAATAACTAACACCGTGAATTGACATTTTTATAAATTAGATATCTGTTATATAACTTACAGTAACATAATATTATTTTAACATAATATATCTGTTATCTGTACGCCTTGTTACTAACTTTGATCATTCAAGACTATTACTATTACTATTATTATTATTATTATTATTAAGTTCGTTGTTGTTATTCAGACCTTATGTGTGTCACGTCATTTTTATACTTTTGCATATAATGTTTATTAAATAATTATATGTTGTTATTACAAAAAATTTTAAAAAAATATATAAAACAATATATAATATAATGTTTTATTGTATAAAGTATACACGTAAAAATATATAGACAATACTATAGATCAAGTGATACAATATATTTTTTATATAACATTGAACTGTAAATCATACTTGTTAATAAAATGAATAAAATCGATTTTTTTAATATTTATGACAAATATTGAAATAATAAATTTAATTATTATTAATAAACTATATATCCATAAACCTTATAAAGTATAAGGTCTACGTGTATGTCTTATAAATTATTTATACATATTGTTCATTGATATAGATTAACACCGACTGTTGTAAAAGTTGTCAGTAGGTATGGAGTTACTGTTACTCACTTTAATTATTTAGCTAATTTTGTTTTTGGAAAAGTTTATATTCTCTGTCATAGTTTCAATTACTCGTACGTAATTAATAATGCAATGAAATCATATAAAATTGTTTAACCTAAGTTATTTATCGATAGAATACAGCCCGTCGATAAAAAAAAAAAAAATCGAACGTTTGTAGCCCAGAGATCCAAAACTAATATCCTTACATTTACCAAGTTGTATATTTATGTTTACTCTGTGCAAACTAAGTGACCGCAATTACACTGACATTTCAATTGAAAGTTAAAGTAAACAAAAGTGTGAATCTTTGATCAAATGTTTATGGCAAACACCGTAAAAGYAAATTATATTGGTACGTATATATTATTAACTACATACTAATTGCTTTTTTTTAAGTATTTAAAACAATGTATCAATTAAATCGGTATTATTAAATTACTACTAATTGTGGTATGAATTATTACATTATATAACAACGTAAAAATTTTAAATACAATATCCCCTGTAAGTATAAAAAAAAAATGCTTTCAATCTTGTTATCAAAATGTTTAATAAATTCCAATCTACTTAAACCGTATAGAACCTATTATATATCTTTTCTGAGGTAATATCATATTTTAACTACACATGTTCATGATTATAATAGATGTTTACAGGAACCCATTGGTTCTACCGGAGCTCAGTTATCCCGTAATGAGAGCCACAGCGGCCGTGGGTGGAATTAATAAGTATCTCATTAAAGCTTGCAGCACCTCAATGCCCCTTAGATGATCAGGCCCTCATTATAAGAGCTCAGCCTACTGGTGGTCCGAAGACATTGCGGAGTTACGCCGGTCTGTCTTCTCACACAGACGGAGTTACCAAGCATGCCTCAGAAGAAATGGATCAGATGGGAGCCACGATGCAAGGATTGCGTATATTATGGCGAGGAARATTTTGTGCCTAGCAATCAGAAAAGCGAAGCAAAAAAATTGGATGGACATGCGCTCACAGATCAATTACGATCCTTGGGGGATGCTTTACCGTTTGGTCATGCGGAAACTGGGTAACCAGACCTCTAAATTGGCGATCAAAGGGAAAGAGTTAGAGGTTGCTGATCATCTGTTCCCAGATGCYCCGATGATCGATTGGAACTCTGAGCCATCCCCAGCTGTGTACAATATCTTTGACTTGTTTGACCAGGAAACAGACGAACTAGTATTCACACGTCCGCTCCCGGAGTTTACGACTGAAGAGCTCTTCACAGGATCCTGAAAATCCACCTACCTTTTCCAAAAACGCCATCAAGAGAGGGAGGAAAGGAGGATAACGATCGCTCAGTGGCAAGTTAGATGGTCTTTCACGACTAAGGCATCGTGGACACGGCTAGAGATTCTGGATTTCGGTAGGTGGCTTGAGAGAACGGTCCAGGCACTGACGGGCCACGGTTGCTTCCAGTATTACCTACACCGGATGGGTAGGGGCGCCAGCGCGTGTTGTCATCACCGCAACAGTGATTCGGATACYGTTAACCACACAAGCAGTTCCGGCAGCGTCGTCGATAACACGAAAAAAAAGGGTAGATTTGTTTTAAAATAAGGAATATATAGAAAATATTGAATTAGTAATGAGAAGTTGGATTTAGCTTGATCTATATGTTTCAAATAAACKCAGACTAATTAATAATTTAAAAGAGAAGGTATAATAATAATTAACACTGTCGAATATCGAGTAACAATAATTTACTCGTATTAAAATAAAAACAATATATTGTAACGTGATAATGGTAATAGTTTATCATTATTTTTAAAAGAAATACAATACATCTTTATTCTTTGATATGTAATTATTTATATATATATAATATATGTCATAGCTGTTGTCAATATTTTATAATAATGGATCGACAATATCTAAAAAAAAATGAAAGTTATTACTTATTACCTACCACCTACAACAATAAAATAAATAGTATATATTAAAATGCTTTATTTTGACAACACAATATGTGATATGCCTTAAAAGTTATAATACTAAATCTAAAGCATAATGATAAAGGTATAAAATAAGTAATAACCATAGAAAAGTTTCTATTGTAAAACTATAAGTCTCATAAACTTAAACTATTCACCATTCGGTTATACAGACCCATCTATAGTTACGTCTAGCTACGTGTCGTAAAACCCGAAAAGACCATTATACCGAATCTTATCGAATTCACGTCAATGTGTCAATATTCGGATTATCAATCAACAAGAGAAACCACTCACAAAGAATGGTTCCCCCTTCTTTACATTGACAACGAGCTATAAATCAGAGCCAACCGCTAGGTACTTAGGGAAAAAGATAGTGTAACGAGTCAATCATCTCTAAAACTTTTTTTTTAACTCATCACTCCAATAATATTATCTTGCTCGCAATGGTCCTTGGAAATTGATACATCAAATAAACAAATTGTTTCTCATAAAGTTTTTTAAAATCAACAAAAAACACAATTTGTTCACTGGATATTGAAAATTCTTAAGGAATAATAACATAAATAACACTGAGTTTTATTTTTGTTTTATTTGCATGATAGGTACTGTATTGTTATCAAATAGATTTTTGGATGATTAAATAATAATTGGTTATTAGTTTATTATATTATTATTGTTATAATTATTTAATTTATACGCAAAAATAAATATCTAAAAATATAACAAATTAAACTATTTAATAACAATGTACAGAACACAACAATTTTTCCGATTGCTATACCTCCATTAGTTACTAAAATACGATGTATATGTGTATACTTTAAATAAATTATATTATAGAAAATTTAATTTGTCGAAATTTAAAAAGCCAACTTTGATAGTATAAGTATCTCTACAACACTTTAATCTTTATTTTTTATTTTTTATTTTTGTAAGATTTACCTATAATATTGTTCAGTACCTAAATAATATATTTTTATATTTATTATATATAATTATTTAATGTGTAAAAACTAAATATTGAAAGATCAATATGACTTAATTATTGTAATATAATTGATGTAAGATTGTGTGTGAGACGTGTAAGAAAATAATAATACTAACAAGTAATAACAAAAGCGAGAAAAAGATTAATACATGAGTTGAACGGTTTTTTGTCCTCTGTCTATTCCTTTAACACACGTATAGACTGCATTTAGTGCGATATAGTATATTATGTAACATCCCTTTTTTTAAAGTACCTATAACACACGTTCAAAATATATACCTATATATATATATAGTATGCATTTATATTATTCACAAGAAAATATAATGCTCGCAAGGTTTGTAGTCATTTGTCGTACATTGCTAAACCTCTTTCATCGCATCGCTGCGCTGAGTGGATGGTGTTATC